CCGCCTCTCTGGTCCCCCCACAACCCCTTTATCAGGTTTGAGTGATTTTAGCAGGGATGCCCCGTGCATTTCAGCGGTGCCTCCCCTACATTCCCACCAGCCCTTCCTGGAGCGGGGGATCTTCCTGAAAGGTTCACTGAGAGCCACGTGGAGCTGGCCAGAAAAGGTCTACCAGGGCTGTCCAACCTGCGGCCCCACACAAAATCAGAAATTTACTTAAAACATCATGAGACTTTTTTGTGATTGTGTGTCGCAGTGTATTTAATGTGTGGCCCAAGACAGCTCTTCTTCCACTGTGGGCCAGAGCCACCACAAGGTTGGACACCCCTGAATGCCTTAGAACAGAGAGCCTTGCGTGTTCGCAGGGCCAGGCTCCCCTCGCTGGGCAGGGTGAGGCCTGCCTGCCTGGTCCCCCCCCCCCCCCCCCCCCACAGCCCTGTTGCTCAACCTGGGGCCAGCCCTCAGGATTGCACAGAGGATGCCATTACCTCTACGTCTTAGATTCTGGAGATGGACCAAGGTGTGTTGGGTCATCTCTTACTCCAGTCGACTCCCAGGGAAAAAAGCCAAAGAGCTGCATTCAATACCCACTTCTCGTTTCACTTTAATGCGTGGGGCTGAGAAATCTGGGAGAAGTGAAAATCCAGAGTAATGTCTGGAGGCTTTGCTTTCAGTTGGTGAGGGAAGGGCTCTCTGTCTTACATTTCCCAAACTTTCCTGATAAGAATCACCTGGGTTGCTTATTAAACACACACGTTATTGGAGCTAGGTATCTGTGTTTTTACCAAGCATTCAAGCCATTCCTATCTTTGGTCGAGTTTGGGAAACAGTTTATCTACTGTACCAAAAATAGCCCGTGAAGAGGGGTGCTTCTTTAAAAGTTTAGTTTCGCGTTTAACACATGAATGAGTTTTCCTTGTTTGAAAATGTGTTAACATTACAGACAAGTCTCCTTTGATTTCCTGCGACGGCCCCCACCCAGCCCCACCCCCTCCACCCAGAGGAAGTGTCAAGGTGAAGTGTGCATCTCCCCAAACCTTTTCTTTACATTCAAGATACAGGTTTCTGTTTATTTTTCCTAAAGAAGTGTCAAGTTGTTTCTCTCATTCCACAACCTGCTTTCCTTTTATTCCAAGCCATGCCATGGAGAACTACGTTTGTGCATAATGAGCGACTGCTTTTTTTTTTTACTCGCTGCATAATATTCCACAACGTGGAATTAGCATGATTGAGCAATTCCCCTGTGGGTGGATGTAGCAGGTGCTTGCAGTTGCTCATCAGTATTGCTCCAGTGAGCATCTTTGTCCGTGCCTCCTTACATACATTTGGGAATAAATACTGAGAAGCAAAGTTGCTGGGTTAATCCATGTACATTTCTGGATTTTAATAGGTTCTGCCAGAAGTTGTCTTTCAAAGTGGCTCTACCAATTTACCGTTCCTCCAAGAGCGTGCACAGGGAAAGAACCCAGCTCTCACCCCAGGGGCAGCCGTCTCACGCAAAAGCCTGTGGATGTGTGTCCGAGTGACAGTACTCACCTTCCCCTAACCCTTCCCTCTGGGGATGAGCAGGAAGACTACCTCCTATCACAAAGCTGTGTCTCCAGGATAAAAGCACCCTGGCCCCAGACTGATGGAAGGCAGCGAGCGGTGTGTGCGGAACAGAAAGGAGGCTGTGGAGCTGAGTCCCAGAGCCCTCCTGTCAGGGAGGTGGCACAGGCAGGGTCGAACCCTCCGACCCTCTGGGCTGCGTGGGCCACATATAAACAAGGGATGCTGGAGCAGGCCTCTCAAGGAGCCTCCATTCCGTTGCTTTCTGAGGCTGTGAAAGTCCTTTGAGGGTACTGGGTTGATCTGGAGTCTCTGGTTTCATTTGAAAGCAAGAAAAAGCTTTCAAACTGGGCAACCTGTTTGAAATAAAAATGGGATTCAGCCATAACCTCCGTCTTTCTGCTGCTCAGCTCCACAACGAGGTGGTGAGACCAGGAGCCTGGGCTCCCTGGCGGCTCTGTACCTGCCGCGTGGGACCACGAGGCCACGTGAGGGGCCAGTGCCGGGTCAGGCCTTTCCAATCCAAGATCAAAATCAAGGAAAGCCTCTCACGGGCCCAGGTGGCCTGCTCTTCAGAAAAGTCTCCGCTTGGCTCCCTTTTAGTCGAATTGTTCAATTAGATTTCAGGGACTTGTCTGCTAACTGGGGCAAAGGCAGCCCAACAGGACCCCAAGCCCACGTGCGGGGAAACGAATTCTCCTTTCTTAAGTGAGAAAATTCGCAGCCTTCACGCAAGCCCCTTGAGGGGCCGTCCTGACTTCGAGTGAGTCCTGGGCGGCTGGGACAGGGATCTACTGCTCACGGCCTGTGGCTGGGGCCCGGCACACGCCCCTCTGGCTAACTGCCCACTCCGCTCTCTCCTAACACCTGGTTAAATTTTTACTTCCCAAAACCAGGACATGATTTTGCAAAAGGTCAGACAGCTCGGTGAGTGTTTGCAGAGTTTCAGGTTGCTCAAACCTCCAATTCCCTCCCCACCACCCACCTCACTTTGAAGTTTGAAAGCAAATTGATTAAATATATATTTTAGGAACCTTCTGATTTGCTTTTTAGACTAACAGAATCCTAAACTTTTTTATTTTTAAACGGAAGGATTTTCAACTGTCAGCAGGTATAACTGGAACCATATGTCAGCAGAGACCAGGGGCCTTTCCTGGTCTTAGGGTTTGTAGATTCTTATTGAAACGGAAGTAAGCAGGCAGCTGGGGGGCCCGTGACAGCCCAAGCTCAGATCTCATTTTAATTAGAAAGTACAGATAGTGCCTGCTGAACCAAAGGCCTCCCAGAGCTTCTGTCTCAGGGCGAACAAAGATTTGGTTTCTATCCTGCAAGGCTCCGTGTTTGCAAATCACAGAGCACTTCCGTGTCGTGAGCTCCCTCCCCCGTCTTCTTCCTCCCCGCCAATCCCCCCAAATGGTTTTGTTTTCCTGGGGGAATTTTTGCTCCCTTCCTCACTGCGGAAGAGATGGAGGATGTCCAAGTTGAGAAACGACAGTTAAGGAAGTCTGCAGCAGGAGACGTAAGGTTAGATGTCAGCCGCAGCATGTCCATCACTTTCTGTGTGTGGACTCTGGTCCACTGAACTTTAAGACACCAAACCCTGTGCCAGATCCGCGTCTGAGCTATTCTGTTTGACAGTGGTTCACATGTATAATTTTCTCCCCGCTGTGTTCTGCAAATGGTAGAGTAGAAATATCAAGTGAAAGACATTGCCTGGCCCAGGTCTCTCCCCTCCCCCCCCTGCGGTCTTTCCCTTGCCTGGTATCATTTGAACTCAGTGAGCCTCAAGAAAGGCCATCGTTACAACGCCTCATCTGGAAGGACCCCTGCTGGGACTCAGAGCCCGACCCACAATGGAGTGGCAGTGGACAGGCCTGCAGGCCTGGGGGCAGGCAGCCCGGTGCACGTGCTCAGGTGGGGGGTGCTCCAGCTTTGGGTCTTTCTCCGATGTGTGCCGTGCCTCCTGTTGGGCCCACTGCACACACCCACGATGGGGCTGCTGCTGGCTGTCCCTCCTCGGGCATCACGTTCAGGCAGCTGGCGGTCACCAGTTCACCCTGCCAGGGCCGCTGCCACAAGCTGCCATTCACCGGACAGACAAAGGGGGATTTTCCCTTCCCCTGGGTTTACAGGCCCCTCAGATGCCTTACATTCCAGGAGCTGGGGGAAAAAGGAGGCTCCTGTGGTTTCTAATTAAACCCACAATTTAAATAACAATTTATGCAACCCCAAGGGTTGAGAGAAACGCCAACCTACCCCCTCAAGAGGGAGGAGCAGCCCGGTGGCCCTGGCGGGAGGCTGGGGACTTGCCCTTTGCCAGATGTGTGACCAAAGAGACAGATAATGACGGAAATCACTGAGTTTGTGGTGCAGCCAGAATGTGTTGAAAGGGAACGAGTTTGGTGGGCTCCTGTCCTTTCCCCTCTGATAAGTGTGCCTGTCATGAAAGTTAGGAAGTAAGAAAGGGGAAAGAAAGTTGTCATCTTGACACTTAGCCTCCGAGAGTTTTACCCTCCTCCAGGGAAAATATGGAACTTGGTTTCTGAAGTGTTCACAGCCCAGATTCTCACATTTTCATGGGACTCCCCCCTCTGTCCCCTCACTGTCTACCCCCAGGTGACTGTCTGTCCATCTGATGGGAAGCTTTGCTCTTTTCTGGAATATAGACAAGTGAGGAGGCCAGGAAGGGCCCTGGTGCAGAGTATCTGGCCCAGGGTCTTGGTCGAGCCCCTTCCTCAGCTGGACCCCCCAGCTTCCCCGTTTGTTACAGAAAGGTCTTCGGATTTGTTGCTTCCCGGGCCCCGTCCAGGACTGGCACTCTGTCCAGCCATCCCTGAGCTGCCTCTGTGTTTTCATCAGGCCTCTCTGGGGCCACAGTCTTCTTCACAGTGCATTGATCTCACCAGATTGTTTTCTGATTACCCAAGGCATGATCATGTTCCAGATTTGGGGAAAATGGAACGCTCAACGTAATTATCTCTAGACAAGCTCTTCTTGCCTCAGCCAGCACCAGGAGCTTGTCAGCGTTTCCAGCTTTCTGCAGTCTCCTTTCCAACTTTCCTCCATTTCCATTCCATTAAATTGAGCAATTCGCATTCCCAAAGACACCCTCCAGGTTCTTGCCTCTGTGCCTCTCTACGCAGACGCCTTTCTGTTCTCACTGCACTGTGCCCAGAGCAGGCCAAGCTGCACGAAGCAAAGGCTCAGAGGTCCCCCTCTTGCAATGGAGCACTGCCAGTGATGCGGGATTGGGGGGGAGTCCCTTTGTTATCCCTGCACGAATTGGAGCTTCCTGAGGGCAGGCACCAGTTCTGGCTCCAGACTCCCCCTGCCTCTCTCCCTCCCCCCCCTTGCCAGTGTGGCCCAGGCTCAGTTTATGTGTGTTGGAGCAAAGCCTGGCTGAGAAGCCGAAAGCCAAAGGTGGACTCACCCTTCCATCTTCCTCCCTGCAGGTGATTATTGCTGATGACTACTCAGATCCCTTCGATGCCAAAAATGATCTCAAGAGCAAAGCCGGAAAGGGGGAGAGCGCTGGCTACATGGAGCCCTACGAGGCCCAGAGGATCATGACAGGTAAGCCAAACAGTTGGCACAGGGACTTGCAACTCAGCAGGGAGGTAGGGAGCCCACTCCTGGACACATAAGGGTGGTCCCCGGCCCGTCTGGGCAGGGGAAGGTTTGTGCTTTCAAGGAGGCCGAGCCTTGTTGAATGTTCACCACGGTTTGCCATTTCATGGTTCACGTACACCAGGAGGAACCTGGCAGGGTACAGTGGAAGTCCGGACACCAGGGTACCGAGGACAGTTAACCAAGACAGAGACAGAGAAGTAACTGGGGAGGAGAGAGGGAAAGGTCTGTCGGGAATGTCTGACTGAAGAAAGGTACAGCATTTGAGACAGAAAACTTCACTTGGAGCTTCCAAGCAGGTGGGGTCACCTTCTTTTATTACCTGGTAGACGCTGGTGAACTAGGTCATTGTGGGCAAAATCACCTCAGTCCAGATCTGAGGAGATCTTTGTTTTCGGGCTAGAGGTAGCCTAAAGAGCCCTTGTTGTCTACCTGTGGCTATTTTTATATTGGCCTTTAATGAAAAAACCTTGTCAAAGCAGTTGTGTTGTCCCAAAAGAATGTGGCCAGGCATCATAATGCCTGGAGCATCTTCCCGGGACAGTGCTGAGAGCATCTTTAGAGAATGCACAGGTTATCAGCCATCACAGGCAGACTGGGGGGGGGGGGGGGGGGGGAGATCCCCAGCAGAGGAGAAACCACCCCCGCTTACAGGCCTCCCTGGCCCAGGAGGGCTGTCCAGAGACGAGAGCCCCTGTGGACCAGAGCCCTCTGGTCCCTCAGCAGAGTGGCCAGGAGCAGGTTGGGAGCCAGCGGTGATTTGGAGGCCGAATGAAGTGGTGCCCTCTGCGTCTAGGATTTAGGATAGAGACGCCTCTTCTGTGGCCCTGTATTGTTTGTTTCGTGTTCACTGAGTCGTTGAGCTCTTTCTCTTTGTTCCTTCTGCATGAGAAGAAGGAAGGAACAGGAAGAGACGTTTACTGAGCACAGAGTGCACGCTGGGCCCAGGAAGGATAGAAGCTCCTGGGTTTGTGGAGACCATGTAGGACGTTGCTGAGGACCTGGGTGCGAGTCCAGACCCTGCTTCCAGGACTCTGCCTGCTACTCCCCCTGTTTATGGAAAGGGGTTCTCTGGCGACCACGTGGTCTCTGGAATGCCTGGCCATCCTAGAAAGGGCCCAGGAGCTACACTCCTGGAGGGCCGCCCCTCATACTCACTCCCATCTTCCTAGTCTCCCCTGGCAGAGCGGCCTCTGGGGCCAGCAAGAGGCAGAGGGCTGGGTGTGCACTGGGGCCAGGGGCCTGAGGGAGGGGCAGCCCGCCCTTCTCCAGGGACACGGAACCAGGTGTGCCAGTGGAGTCTTCACCTCGGCTCTGCAGTGACACCCGCTCCTGCTGTCACAGCCCATCACCTCCCATGTTCTGTCACCTCCACTGGGCTCAGCAAAACCCCAGCTCTGTGGCAGTGCTGTGGGCTATGTCCCGCTTAGGCCTGGCTGAAGAGCTTGGGCCCTGCACCTCCGGCCGGTCATGCATCCAGCAGGCATCAGCCGGGGCATAGGCGGGTGGTGGTTACAGGAGTTACTTCAGGACACCGACACATTCATATATCAGGGCAGCAAAGGATACTCAAGGTCATCCAAACCCAGCAGCCTCATTTGACAGATGGGAAAACTGAGGCTAGGGAAGGCGGGGGACTTGCCCAAGGACACAAAATAGTAAGTGGGAGGCAAGATGCCCAGCACGAGGCCTGAGGTCTTCGGGGTGGAAGGCTGGAGGAAGTGCAGTGTTTGTGTTTGACGACAGGGTGTCCGGGACACAAGGAAATGGCAGGAGCCACCTGAGGCGAGCCCTGGGCTGTGTCCTGGGCCCTTGGACATACATGCTTCACCATGTCCCTGCAAAGAAGGTGTTGTCTTGTTTTTCAGCAGAGGAAAACTGAGGACAAGTCACTTCCCTGGGGTCACACCTGTAGAATTGAGGGGCTCAGACCTGTTTCTCCAGAACGTGGGAGCAGGGAGCTGAAGTCAGGAGGGGCATTTGCTGAGAGCCTTTGTGGAGAGTCTGCCACTGCCTGGCGACTCTGCAATGGAGCTGGGTTCCTTCCGGGCGCTGCCATGGACCTCAGCAGTGAGTGGCCGTCTAGCTGGGTCGAATTGTCGTGTAAGACTTTGGCTTTTTAATGAGGCACACCCACAAGGGCCAGGTCTAAGCCAGGGCAGTTCGAGTTCACCAGGAACCTGTTAAGATCTCCGTGCATTCTCTCCAGAGAAGCATTCTCGTACTTGCTGCTCTAGGCTTTCTTCCTAGCTTGGAGCCTGTGCCCAAATTTACACCCCCCTTTCTTTTCTAAAGGAAATAGTTGACTAAATAGGACGTTTTCTGGTTGTAACGACCTTGTTCCATTTGACTTGGAATTCTTTGTGTGTAACGTCACCAGTGTGACTGATGGCAAGGATGGGGGCTGGGACCATAAATGCTCCAGGAAGCAGGTCACCGAGCTGACAAGGGAGGAGGAGGAGGTGAGGGACAGAGATGGGTGCTGGTGACAGCAGTGGAATAGAGGATGGCCCAGGAAAAGTTACAGCCATCCTCTTAGGGTGATGTTTTTTGGGGTACTCTAACATTTATGTGTATGTGTGCACGTAACTTCTAGTCTTGGGGCAGGCTTCTTTGCACTTGATCTTAGCCAAAAGGCCGAGAAGCAATGGGGCAGGCTTCTTTAGAGCATCAGAGTCCCGCTGCCCGGCAGAGTGTGCCCTCTCTGCCATAGATGGCGTGCCTCTTTGTGCTGTGCCGAAGGAGGCCAGGCTGCAGTCGAGGCTATCTGGGAGGGCCACTTGCCACCTGGCTGCCCCCTGGGAAGCAGGAGCCTTAGAGGGAGTGGTCAGTGTGAACAGGCTGTTTGACCTTGGGTGGTGCCTTCTGTGCCTCTGTTTTTACCTATTTATGAAGGATAGCTCAAACGGTGATAATATCAATAGCAGTGGTGGCAGCTGCTAAGCTCCCTTGTGCTTTTTACAGCACCAGATGTGAATTCTCACTGCACCCTCACCATCACCCTTTGATGTGTAGGTGCCCATTATACTGGAAGAGACGCTGAGGCCCAGAGAGGTTAATTAACCAGCCCAAGGCGCCCAGCTGGGAAGTCAGTTGTGGGGCTCATGGCTGAGGCCCTGTTTTCACCACTGTGCAGTAGAGTCTCTCCAGGGCCCATTCAGCCCTGGTTCGCCCCTGGTTGATTTTCAGACCCCTCAGCACAGCGGACGTGGCCTGTGATTAGCTGATGAGGTTTTGTTCTCTGCATCCTCAGCTCCACGTGGAAGGTCGTAGGAGCTTTTGGGAGGTGTGTGTTTGTGAACAGAGAACTCAGCCTAGCCCCACGGGCTATGGCTGGGAGGAAAGGCATGGAGAATCATGCTTGTTTCCCCAGGGGCTTCTCTCACCTCCTCCCCTTTGTCTGCCTCAACTTCCCTTTCCACACATTGCCCTTCACGTCACCCACAGGAGTTAGGTTCTGGCTCCAAGACTGAGACTCAGCTGTCCACAGAACCCTACCACCCAGATGCCCATGGATGGCCTGGTGGGCCTCACTTTCTGCCCGTCCCCACCCCCATCACTGCTCTCTCTCCAACCGCAGCTCTGGAGCTACCTCCTTAAAACTCAAAGGCTAGTCCTGGCCGGGAATCTGAGATGGTTAGAGAGCATCGTCCTGATGCACTGAGGTTGTGGGGTTGATCCCCAGTCAGGGCACAGGTAAGATGCAGCCATTGAGTGCAGAAATAACTGGAACAACAGATCGATGTCTGTCTTTCTCTCCCTCTAAAATCAACGAATAAAAGAAGAAAAACTGGAGGGCTCTGTGGAACCCCAGTAGAAAGCTAATGACACAGTCCGAGCTTTTTTTTTTAATAGGTAAGGACACTGAGGCTCAACAAAGTCATAACCCTTGTGAGATTTTTTTAACCCACTGGTTAAACATGAAGCTGTCTAGTGAGACAGGAAGTTGTCCATCCTAGAGGTAACCAAGCAGAGGCAAGACGGCCAGCACTGGGAGACAACATGAAGGTAGTTAAGTGTCAAATGGGTGGTTGATGCAAGTGACCTCTGAGGTCTGTATCAACCTCGAGCTCCTGGATCCCGTGATTCACTGTGTGCTGCCTCATCATTAGACACCTGGGACCAGCCCCGAATAGGTAAGGATCTGGCAAGGTCTGGCAGGTTCCTCTCCTGGTGCCAGCCTGGCTCATGCCGTTCAGTCCTAGGCCCCTTTGCATCTTGCTTGGACCATCATTCTATGGTCTTGGTTTTTTCCATTCCACTGGGGCTTCCCTTTCCTCACGTGTAAACTGAAGAGGAAGAATCAGAGCACTTCCGGCTTTCCTTCCTGCCTGAGTGGCCTGCTCTCATGCCCCCGGCCAAGCCTCCCACTGAGCCAGTAGAATCGAATCAGGCTGCCTCCCTCCACAGCCCTGCCTCACAGCCTATTCTTTCCCTCTTCACTCCAATCTCCATCCCAGGCTTGAGGGCCCCGGGTGCATGGAGGCCTGCCGATGTGTGGGAGAGGTGGTGGGCTCTGAGTCAGGCCGACTTGGGTGGCTGGGGTGGGTCAGGATGCTTAGCCTATTGAGGGCCATGGTGTCCTCACTATAAAACAGGGCACACAACACTGACACGGCCTCAGGTGGAAAGAGCAAGCCTGGCACATGAGCATGAATTGTTATTGAGGAGCAGAGCAGCTGTTGGGCCTTCACTTGGTAATCGGTGCTATTGGATTCTCTGACCAGGCCCTGGCCACCTGGAGCTGGGTGGCCAAAGCAACAGGGTGGTGGAGAAGGTGGTCCTCAGACCCTCTGTGGTGCACTTGGTTAGCCTTGAAGCCCTTGCTGCACCCTGTAGTGTTGGAGACCAGGCCATGTAGCCTGGGCAGGTACTGCCACTGTCCCCAAGCATTTCCACAAAGCAAGGAGGCAGTCATGGGCCCAGCTGATCAGTGGCTGGTGCAC